GTTATGTAGTGGCAGTGAATATCAAACATCTACAACTTTCAATGTTAGCATTATGCATTGAAAGAATGTAGTAAACAGTTAAAGGTATAGTACATAAAAACTGCACTGAACTGTACATAGATGCAGTTACAAATATTTGACAGATTTAGCTTAATTTAGCTGAAAGGTTTTTCCTCTAAAGGTTGTATATTGAATATTTTGTACTTTAGATCCATTAATGTTCTCTAAGTTTCAGGTATAAAATCGAGTTTAACTTGTTGTGATTACTAAAACATAAAACAAAATTCAAATTTTGGAAACATTTGAAATCTCACATATGTTATTTCAAAGTCATCGTAATTTCTCCCCGTCTCTTTAATGAGCAGTAAACAACAATGGCAAAGGAAAAGATCCACATCAACATCGTGGTCATCGGCCATGTTGACTCCGGAAAGTCCACCACCACCGGGCACTTGATCTACAAGTGCGGAGGAATCGACAAGAGGACCATCGAGAAGTTCGAGAAGGAAGCTGCCGAGGTTTGTGTCAATCGAGAGTCTGAGTTTATAATCACATGAGGAGAATCAGTGAGTATTCAGAAAAGAGTGTCACTGATAACTGAGATCCGTGTAAAAGCGACACCTACTGTTGAAACATGTGCAACTGAAACACCCAGAACATATCCCTGTTATATCTTTTATACATCCATGTCGTATCCTATATAGATCTATGACATATCCCTGTTATACCCTATAGAAATCTATAACCTGTTATATCCACAACAGATGGGCAAAGGCTCCTTCAAGTACGCCTGGGTGCTGGACAAACTGAAGGCCGAGCGTGAGCGTGGTATCACCATCGACATCGCTCTGTGGAAGTTTGAGACYRMMAAGTAYYRYGTGACCATCATTGACGCTCCTGGACACAGGGACTTCATCAAGAACATGATCACTGGAACCTCTCAGGTAAAGACACACATTTTATTCTAATGTGTAGACTTGTCGTTTTTAGGTTTGTGCATCAGACCTCAAGTAGATATGAACTTACCAGGATCAAGTCCAGAGGTTTACTGGATACGCGTTTGTTTCCATATCACCACCAATACAAGAAATCTGTGTTTTATTGTTGTTTTATAGTTTACTTTATTGTCACATTATTCTCTTGAGAAAACTAAAAGTACCAAAAATGACGATTTCACAATGGAGTTGACAAATGGTCTACCTACCTGTGGTCATGGACATTCTTGCCACTGCTTCCTTTGAGCCGCTTCGATCAGCGGCAGGTGAGTGACAGCAGAGACCAGGAAGTTCACCAGGATGTCCTCAGAGTCCACAGAGACTGAAACAGGTAGTGGTGGTAGTACCTGTGTGACAGGTGATGTTACGGTGCTGTCATCAAAACATGAGAAAGGGGACAGGACATTTGTTATCAGGATTTTCTTAATGAGAGCAAACCAGAGAGCCATTGAATTTCCTGCCTCGGTTTCTATTTCTCATTTGTTTTCAGTCCTCAGCCTGAAAGGAAAAGCATTTGCAAAGCAAAGTTTAAAATCTGTTATTGCAAAACTTAAAAAATATTTAGTCTACAGAAATGTAGAAATTCATAAAACCTCTCCCTGTTTAGGCCGACTGTGCCGTGCTGATTGTTGCTGCTGGTGTTGGTGAGTTCGAGGCTGGAATCTCCAAGAACGGCCAGACCCGTGAGCACGCCCTGCTGGCTTACACCCTCGGTGTGAAGCAGCTCATCGTTGGTGTCAACAAGATGGACTCCACTGAGCCCCCTTACAGTGAGAAGCGTTTTGAAGAGGTCAAGAAAGAAGTTGGCAATTTCCTCAAGAAAACCGGCTACAATCCGAAATCTATTGCCTTCGTCCCCATCTCTGGTTGGCACGGAGACAACATGATTGAAACCAGTGAAAAGGTGAGAACATTTTCAACTTGTTTTAACACGATTATT